TTACTGCTATTGCTATTACTGCTATTGCTAGTAGTAAAATTTTCTAACCGCCCCCCAGTTCCACAATAATGGTGATTTATAAAGTAGGGAAGTCAATTAAATTTAAAAAAAGGAAAGTGCTTCAGTATCGGACAAAACCCCCTACCGCCCACCATGAAAGCTGGAACGCCCACAAGTGGGGAGTAGGGACCAGGTTGACTACCACTGGTATAGACAATCATTTATCTGAACTGGCATAAGGTTTCCTGCTCAAGGAGAGGGTTGGACTAGAAGACCTCCAAGGTCCCTTCCAACTTTATTATTCTATGTTCTGTGTTCTATCAAAGGAAGGAGTCTTCAAAGAATTGCTGGTAAACTCCCTCAGAGTCAATCCAATCAGTGGCTACTGCTAATGCGCTTAAACATGTGATTCCTTGAAAGATAAGAGGTGGCACAGAGTCAAAAAAGAATATCAACAATTAAAACTTATTTAACCATCAAATTGTTTAACTCCAAGGGCCTGAATCAGTGGCGCGATTCAAATTTTTTTACTACCTATTCTGTGGATGTGGCTTGGTGGGCGTGGCTTAGTGGGCATGGCAGGGGAAGGATACTGTAAAATTCCCCATTCCCTCCTGATCAGCTGGGACTCAGGAGGTAGAGAATAGATAGGGGCGGAGGTGGTATTTACTGGTTCTCCAAACTACTCAAAATTTCCGCTACCGGTTCTCCCGAACTGGTCAGAACATGCTGAATAGCACCTCATTTTAAAGATTACATTAACAGAATCTTGCAAGGCTGAAAGTGTTTTTCTCTCTCTTCTCCCATCCCACTTGCAGAGCAAACCAGGGTCTCTTCTGAGCCTATTGCCCCACCCACATTCTTAGAATAGAATAACAAGAATAGGAAGGGACATTGGAAGTCTTCTAGTCCAACCCCCTGCCTAGACAGGAAACCCTACAGCACTTCAGACAAACGGTTATCCAACATCATCTTAGAAACTTCCAGTGTTGGGGCATTCACAACTTCTGGAGGCAAGTTGTTCCACTGATTAATTGTTCTAACTGTCAGGAACTTTCTCTTCAGTTCTAAGTTGCTTCTCTCCTTGAATAGTTGCTTCTTGTCCTGCCCTCATGTGCTTTGGAGAATAGCTTGACTCCCTCTTTGTGGCAACCCCTGAGATATTGGAACGCTGCTATCATATCTCCTCTAGTCCTTCTTTTCGTTAAACTAGACATACCCAATTCCTGTAACTGTTCTTCATATGTTTTAGCCTCCAGTTCCCTAATCATCTTTGCTGCTCTTCTCTGCACTTTCTTTTTTACACCGTGGCAATCAAAGCTGGTTGCAGCATTCCAAGTGTGGCCTTACCAAGGCATTATAAAGTGGTATTAACACTTGTCTTGGCCTAAGTTGTCTTTTATTTGACCTTGGTTTTATCTCATTGTCCTGTCTCCCAAAGTCATTCCCATATTATACAATAGGAGGTAGGCAATCCTTTTTTTTAAGAGAGAGAGATAACGCTTAATTATTTTGATGAACAAGGCCGGAGGACATTTAACTAGAAACATCTGGTTGGTGAGACCAATTTCAAGGGTTTTTTTCTTAATGGGAGAAAGTAGACATAAAAAATTATGTTAGAGTTTTATATGGGATAGTTCCTCCTATTTTAACATCAGCAAAGATCACCGCTCTGCAATCATGACACAGAATGCTTTAATATGGGCCTGGATGTTTGGCCTATAATTTGTATGGCATATTAAAAACAGTAATGATCCTTTTTTTAAAAGTTTTAAGAACAGGAGGGATGTCAAAATGATACCATGTGAATTATCAATCAGTACTCAAAACTGTATGTTTGAATTCTTCTACCAACACTGTTGTTCCAGTTTATGTATATACTTTATTATAATAAGCTTTCGCTACATTTAGGAATTGAGTTGTCGTTCTCAGTTGAATGGCCTTTTCGTTCTTCTTGCCAGTGTCTATAAGGAGAACCGGAAAATATTTTTTTCTTCCAAGGATATAAATCAACCTGCAACTATTCCTTGAAAACGGAAATTGCTTTATTTAATCATAATATCATTAGTATCGTCTTCTTTAGTGATATCAAGTACATTAGTAACAACACAATCCAAAAGTAACGCTTTAAAGACAGCTATTATTATGGCATATACAGCCCAATCCAAAATTCCATGTACTTTTGGTTACAATTTATGCCCAGGAATGTTCCTCCTACTTTAATTCATGGATTTTCTTCAGTAATTAAAAATGTCTTCTTTTAATAAAATATCCAGAAACATAGTCAAGTTATGCCCAAAATAGCTCTGGAGTTAAATGTTTTAGTGCTCGGTGCACATTGCTTGTTGAGGATAATATCAAGATGATACAAAGCTCTGTCAATTACGGAATGTGCTGTATCTGACAACTTGTTACTACATTGTGACAAAAACTACAACATCATTAGTTTCCTTGCAATAAAGTTCATTCTTACCTAATTAGTTTTGTATTTTAAACTGCCTCATTTTGTCCTTAAAAGCTGGAACTCAGGTGTATCAATTCCTCAAACTTTACTTCAAAACTTTAAAGAAAGGAACAACATTGCTAAATGACTCTAAGACACACATGATATTAACATTATTTATACTATCATAATTTAATGTATATAAATTTGCTTTTTAATATAAAATCATTTTAAAAATTCAGAGATACTTCATTTTAGAGATAACATTTAAAAGGCACCTTTTAACTAATGATGTAACATTTTACTCAGTTTAAAGGACATTATTAAATTAAACGTTTCATTATTTATACATACATACACACATTTTATAAAATTACTGGTATGAAAACAATCTGAATAATAGATATTAAGTCATGATTAAAGGACTTTTCTTCTTCTATATTGTCTGCTTTGCAGTCAATAGCAACTATAGACTATAGCTGATCTAACTGAAACCAAATAATCTTGAAAGAAGAGATAACAAACCACACTATGACCACCAATTCAGATGTTTAGTCTTAATCTGCAGGGCAAACCTATCAGAATTATTAAAAACCAACCTAGCCTATGTGTGATAGCAAAATGTTGCAAAGTTTGATTTACACACTAAGTGCTCCCACACAGCTTGTTGTTGTTTCAAGTGTTAATGATTTAACATTTTAGAGGTAGAATTCATGTCAACGCTGACAGTGAGTCCAAACATGGAAACATCCCATTATTGTTCTGCTTTAAAGTAACTGATTAATCCTTGAAGCCCACATTTCTAAGAAGAAAGAAAATGGAATGATTATATTGAAAACATGTCGATTTAAGAATTAATAATCTTAGAATATTGTGTTTTTTAGAATGTATACTATGTGCCTCGAATTAGAACATGTCAGATTAGAAGTATCTTCAAAATAGCCCATACTCACATGATTTTAATTATACAAAAGCACCCGGTAGGTATTAATTATCTACCTGCCCTCATCTCTCCCACATTAAAAATGGTAACTATAAGATTCAGAGCTTAACTTTCTAAAAATACATTGTCTCTGGGGAAAAACCCAAAATACAGATCGAAGGTCACATTTAATTTTGAAATATTATGTAAATTAAGCATATGCCTAAAACCAAAGGACTAAGCTACTGATTTAATTACTTACTTTTCTGTTCGTTCTGTTGTTATTGAAAATGCCCCCTCTGGAGAAGGTGATGGGGATCGCAAAGTTGAGCTAAGTGGTGATGAAGCAGGAAAAGTAGTGGTGGTGTAGCCAAGCCTTCGCATCTCTTGAATGGCCCGTTCCCTACCAAGTAGAAAATTACAACTGAACTCAAGTTGCACTTCCAAATACACTATATTGCCAAAAGTATTCGCTCACCTGCCTTTACTCGCATATGAACTTACTGTGAGTGACCTCCCATTCCTAATCCACAGGGTTCAATATGACATTGGTCTACCCTTTGCAGCTATAACAGCTTCAACTCTTCTGGGAAGGCTGTCCACAAGGTTCAGGAGGGGTTTTATGGGAATTTTTGACCATTCTTCCAGAAGCACATTTGCGAGGTCACACATTGATGTTGGATGAATTTACGTGGCCTACCACTTCGTGGCTGAGTTGCTGAAGTTCCCAAACACTTCCACATTCTTATAATACAGCTGACAGTTGACTGTGGAATATTTAGGAGCGAGGAAATTTCACGACTGGATTTGTTGCACAGGTGGCATCCTATCACAGTTCCACGCTGGGATTCACTGAGCTCCTGAGAGCGACCCATTCTTTCACAAATGTTTGTAAAAACAGTCTGCATGCCTAGGTACTTGATTTTATACACCTGTGGCCACGGAAGTGATTGGAACACCTGATTCGGATTATTTGGATGGGTGAGCGAATACTTTTGGCAATATAGTGTATTTTCTCATGCAGAAAATGATTCACCATTTTTCTATACAATAAATTGGAATCACTTTTTAAAAAATTATTTTCTTTGCTAGCTGTTAAGAATTTTGTTTACAGTAAGAATTTGCTTTCCAGTAACTCTAGATCATGGATGTCAAACTCGCGGTGTCACATTGCTGTCACATGACGCTTTGTGAGTTTTCTGCTTCACGGAGCTGGGGTGGGCATGGCCTGTTATGTAACGCATCTAGTCAGCGAGCCGCCTGTTCAGTGACAGTTTGAAGTTACAACAGCTCTGAAACAAATGACAACTTTTCACACTTACGACCATCTCAATGGTCACATGATCAAAATTCGGAAGCTTGGCAACTGGTTCATATTTATGATGATGCAGTGTTGCCGGGTCATGTGATCTCCTTTTGCGACCTTCTGACCAGCAAAGTCAAGGGGGAAGCCACAGTCACTTAACATTTGTGTTGCTAACTTAACAAATGCAGTGATTCACTTAACAACTGTGTCAAGAAAGGTTGTAAAATGAGACAAAGTGCACTTAACTGTTTTGCTTAGCAATGGAAATTTTGGACTTAACTGTCATAACTTGAGAACTACCTGTTGATTTTAGGTGGTACAGATATTAGTTGAAGAGAGCTTAGTAAGGAAAATCTGGTTTCCAGTCAACATTTTTAATTGAATTATAAAATACAAAATGCAGAGTAAATAAAAAAGCAGGGGGGGGGGAGGAAAGGAGAAATGAGGAAAGATAAGAAAGAGAAGCATTGACTTCTGACTCTCTGTTACACTAAAATAAGGCATTAACATCAAATCACAACTTTTTGCTTTTTCATAATAATATGAACAAGCCATTTCTATAAAGGTCTATCAGTCTAATTGGTAAAACCCAAAGTCAAATTTTCATTCTTTTCCACATCAAGCACCAAGTTTCCATGTGGAAACAAAAGTACTTATGTTAATTTTTTAAATTAAAGTAGTCAATTTTGCCATTTCAGCCAACTCCATCAACTTCCAGGATAGATCTGATTTCAAAGTGAAGTGATTTTTTTCCCCTCCTGGCTACGACAACAGGATTGTTATAAAGGCGTTGTAAGCAGAAAGCTGGGCCTAAATGTCTTAAATGTCCCTGTCTTTCTCCTTTCTTGTGAACCTGAAAAATACTAAATGAAGGGAGGAGGAAGTAACAAGCATCATTCCTTGCAGTAAATCTAAAAACGATCCTCAGCAGATAGCCCTAAAAGTGCCCTCCTGCCAGCCTGTTAATCAGCTACGTGCAGAAACCAGCAAATAGTTGGTTTTCGGATGCTATTTGCCCTGGCAAACTATTTGGTTACTGGGAGGAAGCCTTGTTCAATCTAAGCAACAGATAATTGATCACAGGTTTTTCCCCCCCATTTTAAGGCTTTTTTTAAAAAAAACATATCGATTTCCACAGATGCTTAACTGAAAGGTCTTGTGGTATTTACTGATAGACATTAGTTTATTTTAAATGGTAATATTTAATGTAACACATTTTGAATATGCCCCTTCTTTTGGCTTTTTATGTTGTAAACCACAACAGCATGGAAAGAAGAGTAAGAAATAGATTGCATAACTAAGAAACAGTACTGAAAATGAATCATTAAACTAGTTTTAAAATTTTCTGTGCAACGCTATAAAGTATGCTTTTCTGATTTCCTCCTTAAATGGGAGTCAGAACAGTTGCCTTTTTAATAAAGTTAATTCACATACCGTTCAAATTGCTCTGTTGTCAGCTGTCTTTTCACAATATCATAATCAGTCTGCAGCTGTGCAAGTTTATTTCGCAGTATAGAAACTTCTCTAGTAAGACTTGTTCTAAAAATATTTTAAGACAAAGAGAAAAATATCTATTACACGTTCACAGATGGCATTGTACCAAAGCTTTAAAAATAGCTGCAAACAGATAAACAGAGACCTAGAAATTAAGAAAATATACCCATATTTGTGCATACACATACAAAAAGTTCTTAAAATAAAGGAACCAACAATTTACTGCAAAACAATCTACTTAAAATGTGTATATTTGGAAATGCATTCACCTAAAACTTAACACAATGCATGCACTTGACATATTGCTGACAGAATTTCTTCGGTATTGCAATCTTTGAATTTCCAAGGGGCCATAATGAATGAGATACTTGCATATGAATAGGCAGTACTATATGTATTTGTAGTGACAATTGTAATAATCTAAAACAGTGTTTTTCAAACTTGGCAACTTTAAATTGTGTGGACTTCTGCTCCCAGAATTCACAAGTCATCCTGACTAAGGAATTCTGGGAGTTGAAGTTCACACATTGTCAAGTTGCTAAATTTCAAAAACACTGATTTAAATGGTTTTCCACCACTGCAGCCTGAAGAATACAGATTGACGTATGTTGCTTTTAGCATATTATACTTTATATCTTATAAAGGGCACATGGAAGGTAAGACATTAACCATACTTTCATGAAACACATAAACCAGAAATGAGTAATTTCATCTTTCAATGCAAGTTAGGCAAATTGCAATTCCAGGGGAAATATTTGAAGCCCGTTGTTTCTTACAAAACCCTTCTCACATTGCTAATTAGAAAATCCGAATTTCATTATGTAAACTTGTTGTTGTTGTTGTTGTTATTATTATTATTATTATTATTAATAATAATAATAATATTTTCAAGAATGGAGACATTTTTTGCCTTAAATTACAAACAGCTGAAAGAAAAATATTGTAAAACGGGTCGTTTTATACTTTTCAACATACAATTTACTCTCCGAGAGCGATAACTTGTCTTTGAGCAATTGTATCTCGGAATCTTTTTCATGGGTTATCAAATGGTTCTGAAAATCGTTGTCTCTGCTGGTAGACAAGAGGGTTTCCAGGTTTTGTATTGTAACTCGTTCACTTGACAGTTGCTTTTTCAACAGCTCCGTTTCTGACTTTGAATTTTCAAATTCGGACACAATCTAGAGCATAAAAAGAATTGATTTAATAAATAACCTCACAGTAGCTAAGTTAGCCCACAGTTTCTGTCCTCCTCTCCATTAAGCCCCTTCCGGATTCCACCTGCTTCTTCTCCCATCTCTCCCAGGGAAGCTTTTCAAGCCACAGTGGCTTGAAGATTTTTTTTTTTTTACTTTAGAGTATATATCTATTTATTTTTCTTTTTTACCCTCTCTAATTCCAGAGATTTGGATGTTAATTGACGTGAGAGCAGATCTTTGCCAGATTCCAGTTTGAGACATAAATCTCTAACAGCAGCCACATCGTGATTCATTGAAGATTTTTCTTCTTTTTCACGCCGGAGAATTTCTTCCAGCTTGGCCATATTTTTTGCCATTGAAGAAATTTGCGACTCATACGTTTGATGTGCAATGATGTGCTGCGTGAAAGACAAAAGTAAACTCTTTTTACAAGCACGGACTTCTATTATATTTTCCTATTTGCACTCAGTTATTCCGAAACAAAACAAACAAAATCCATATCAACTTGAAGTATTTTTTTCTTCTTCCAAAATACATTTACAACTATTTGCAAGACTTAACAAGTAGTGGGCAAGAGCGGGCATAAATCTGGAATTAGTTTTCCCCTTGAGACCATACAGATGATTAATGCCGTCTGCTCCTTGTACAAATTTCTAATTAATGTCAAGGTATTTGATTAAGAAAAGCACAATAAAATGGTCTAGGAAGCTATAATTTTATAATTACCTCTTGAATTTCTTTTTCCAATAATTCTACTCTTTCTCTAAGGTGTCTTCGTTCAGTATCAATTGAAAGGAGCTCTAATCGTACAGAGCTGTTTTGTCCCTCCGCTTGATGGGCCTTTACTTCCCATTCTTCGGCTTGGCTGTGAAGCATCTGGAACTTCTCCAATAATTCTTTATTTTCTCTTTCCTAGTTTTAAGACAAAATATATCCACTGAGCAATAAAGCACTGAAACAAAAGTCTCAGCTACTATTTGGCCTCTCTTCTGTTTAGAAATGGTCAGCAATTTGTTCCACTGAAGAAACCTGAATATGCATTATTTTCAATATGAGATAACTTCAAGATTAAAGGATTATACTGTTACATATAACACTTTAAAAGATTTGAGGCAGATATGATATTAATTGATCATTACATGTAAAATGTAATACCTTGTATCAATTTTCTATACTGATTTTACAATAAATAATTGGGATTTTTTCAATGTTGTCTAGGTGTATGTATAAAAAAGCAAGGAGATCAGCCTAGCAATCAAATGTAAGTTAGTCAAATCTTTGTGTTTCCCTATGGTTGTGAAAGTTGGAGCTAAAAAAAGCAAGACAGGAAGAAAATTGACTTATCTAAGCTGTGGTGCTAGAGAAGGATCTTGTCTATCCAGCAAAGATGACTAACAAGCAAGTCCTGGAGCACATAATACATGTCACTGGAAGGCACAAATCACAAAACAGTGTCTCATTTATTTTGGCCATGTCTTGTGGGGAAATTCACTGACAAAGCAATTATGTTTGGAAGAGTTCATGGTAAAAGGAAACCAGGCCACCAAAGAACATGGTAACTAGACACCATCAAAGCTGACACCAGCCAGAGCAGAGAACAACTCAAAGAAGTGCAAGATCAGAAGATATGGAGAAACCTGGATCATAGAATCACCAAGGATCGGACACAACTGAATGGATAACGTCATCATCATCTGTATGTATGTACACTATTCACATACTGAAGGTTCTAAATACAACAAATCTCGACATCTACATATCTAGATATATCTACCTGTATGTGTGTATCAATGATTCAATAATAGTTGTGCATTTGTGACAAAGTCCCAATTTGTTTTAAATCTAATGATAATTTTAAATAATACCCCTTCTAACTTTCATAGTAATGGTAGAACCCAGTGAAATGTAGCTTAAATGTTATAGGGCTAAGAAAGGACACTTCCCTCAATGTTACTCTTTTCTCTTAAAGAATAGATTGAAGAATTTTTCTTTGTGTACTAACTTGATTACTTTTCTTCAGCTTACTTATAACATTTAAATAAGATATATTTTATGTTTGATTTTATATAGTAGTTAAAGGTACTAGGCTAGAAACTGGGAGGCCATAATTCTAGTCCTACGTTCGACATGAAGCCATGGGTGACGTTGGGCCAGTCAATCTCTCTCAGCCATATGAAGAAAGCAATGGTAAAACACTTCCAAAAATGTTGCCAAGAAAACTGCATGGACCTTTCCATGTAGTGGCCAGGAGTCTTGCAGTGGCCAATAATGACTTGAAAACTCAAAACCAAAATTGATTTATTAAATAATAATATTTTCATTAATATTGCTCACCTTTAAGGCCATTAAACTTTCATATCTGGAGACTTCAGTAATATAATTATGAACTCTAACTTTCAGATCTTCTTTTTCATGCAAAGTTTCTTCCAATTCAGATGAGATTATCTGTTTATAGTACATACTGTTAGACATATAATTCACAAAATAAATAAACCACCTGATGACAAAGCAGTACAATTAAATATGATCTCTTCCATATCAAAACTGAACTACAGAGGGACAGCTTGTAACAGTGTTTCTCTTTGTTATTAGTTCCTCATATTCAGATTTATTTATTTTTTTAAAAAAGCAGCGTTCTGTCTTGTGATTTCCAACCTATGGGTAAGTAATTTTCCTTATGGAAGATTTGGGACAATGCCTATTTTGGCATTGATACTTGGCACTGGCAATGCCCATATTGGTATTAGCACTTGGCACTTCAAAAAATGTAATTGATACCTAATTAAATATTTCAAATGATATAATTATTCAATGCTTGTAGTACTCAAGATTAAACTAGAACAGTTACCACACCATTAAAAACAACAACCCCATAAATGGGATACACATACAAGCAGGCCATTAGAGAACTTTTTCTGGAAAAATTGTGAAATATGTAGCCATAACGGATTTATCTTTACCAGTACACACAAAGAACAATAACTATGAGTCTCTGATGTTTTAACTATGATAGGATAAAATATTGTCATTTGGAATAACAGTTGAAAACCATTGGAAAAAAAAATAACTGGAAAGGAGAATTTCCAGTCTAGCTATCACAGTTAGCTAACCAAGAAATACATGTTCAAGCTGGAATGCTAGTAAAAGAATGGTCAGAAGCAAAAGGCGAGGAAGGAACATGAATTCACTACAGTCACTTGACATGAGTTGTTAAGGAGATAGTCCTTGATTTATGATGGTAATTGAGCCCAGAATTATAGTCTTAAGTCAAGGTGATTGTTAAGTGGGTCATTATATGATTGTTCTTGCTTTTGCAAGCTTTTTTTGTGGTTGTTAAATGATGGCTGTGATAAGTGAACACTGCAGTCATTAACTGAATCCATTAAACTCAATGGGTGTTGTTGTTTTTTGCTGGAAACCATAAGTAAACATTAGAAACTAGCAAAAAAAATGCTGAAAACTGCGGTCAAGTGACCACAAAATGCTGCAAATGATTGTAAATACAAGCCAGTTTCCAAGGGCCCAAAATGTGATCATCTGACCATGAGAATCATCTCTATTGGTCTCTATTCTTCTTTATTGTGAAAGAACTAAATATCTGATCAACACTAGATACACAGTCCATAACTGCTAGGTGAAAATATGAAGAATCTTTCATTTTTTTAAAAAAAATATCATTTAATCTTGAAGTTTGCTATTAGTTAGGAAAGCCTTTTTTTTAAAATGGACTATTATTACAAACACACACAATTCCCAATTGGTGTAATTTATTTGATATTTTCATAATCAAATCACAAGATTCTCTCCAAATGCACCCTTTTAAATATCTGGCACTCAAGCTGTAAGTAGCTTATGTAGCCGTGATGTCGAACCTATGGCACGCGTGCCAGTGGTGGCACGCAGAGCCCCTTCTGTGGGCACACGCAACATCGCCAGCTGCTCTTCTGGTTTTCGGTGCGCGCATGTGCAGTGGCCAGCTGATCTTTGTGCGTGTTGGAGTCCCGTAAACTGGAAGACCAGCTGGCTGTTGTGCATGCTGGTCTTTGAGTTTTTGGGGTTCCGGTGAGCGCATGCGCATGTTCCAGTTTGGGCGCTTGGTGCTGAAAAGCTTCGCCATCACTGTTATGTAGGCTTTACAAACTCATAAAATTTAGAAAACCTACAAGCAAAATACTGTTTTTTTAGGAAGGTAACCTGGGATATTAATGTATAGTTCTATTAAGGAGCATGATATTGGAATCTATAACGGAAAAAAAACAGGACTACGAGCAAAGTAAAATGCTTACAAAAACTCTTCACGCTCCAAAATATGTTATACAGATAGTTGTAGCTGAACAACCATAGCAAGCATTCAGTTGTTACAAGGGTGCTGAATCCAAGGGACTTATGACAATCTTCCTAGTTATGGGTGTTCCGACCTGATCTTGATTTGGACACGTGGCAACCAGCTTGCAATTATAACATAGCAGTGTATCACAGTCACGTGATCGCCATTTGCGACCTTCACTGCCGGCTTCCAACAAGCAAAATCAATGGGGGAAGCTGGTACAAAGTAGCAAATGATGACATGATCACACAGGAATAGCCTAATCACAGCAACTGAGTCTGCCACAACTGCCCTCATAGGTTGGTGTGGTCACATGAGGTCACATTTTATGACACCACTTAGCAATGGAATTGTCAATCTCAATGATCATTAAGTGAGGACTACCTATATTTTATTTTACTTAAAAACAATGTTGACCTTGTTTTGGTTACAATGATGTTTCTGAAGAGGTACGTCACATCTTTTGTACATATAGTTTTTACTGGTACAAAATCAATCACAATGTGCACTATTTGAATTATTTCCTACCTGGTTTTCTTTCGTCATTGTGGCTAGATCATCCTGTAATCTTCTGTTTTCCTTCAGAGCCATGTCTTTCACTCTGACGGTTTCTCCAAGCTCTGAGTGTACCGCATCAAACTGGCGGTGGAGACTGGCAAGTTCACGGTCTTTCCCATTTAAGGCATCCTTTAATTGGCTAAAAAAATGCGGGATTTAGAAAATCTTAATTCATCTTTTTGCAATACATATATATACATGATGGCCATAATTTAAAAATTATAGCAATTAACTAAAATTTATATTTGTACTGAATAGTACTAAAGATAGTTTGCATATTACCAACAAGTACTGAGCCGTTTATACCTGAATTTCTTCCGCTATGGTACAAATGGCAGCATTGATAGAAGACAGATATGATGCTAAGCCTTTATTAATTTTAACCGAGTTTGTAAAATAAGCTAGCTTTGGTTCATAGTCAAGAAAGCACAGGGTACTTCCCAATTAAAATGAGTCATTGTTGCTTCTCGTGACCCGACAATTGCGCGATGGACATATCCGCGCTGATGAAAGAGCGCCGATTTAAACGCGACGTCATAATCGCGACGACAAAAAAGCGACGATAAAATCGCGACATAAACGCGATGATGACAACCACAAGAGAACCTCAGCCTGGAGCCTCCTTGCCCAGGGAGAAGGTCTCACCTTGAAGACACCTAAAATGTTCCCTGTGCCACGCAAGCCCTCTTAGGCACAGCCAGGGGCTCTGCTGCCTCTCTCCCCAGTTGTCTGCCCGTCCTCCAGCTTCATCCCTGTCCCTTTCAATGCCCACTGAGTCCAGAGACACAACCTGGAGCCCTTTTGGCCCTCTCCGGTGGTCAGTCCAGAGCAAAGGCCCAAAGAAAGTTTCTCCCTCTCTGCTTCCAAGCTCACAGCAGCCCCCATCTCCCTCTCGTCCTCCAGGAGAGGCAGCCAAATCTTAATTCAAATGTTCATTGAGCATTAAAACGGGAGGAGAATCAATTCCATCACCTGTCTCTGCAAACCCAGCTGGGGGGGGAGGGGGCATATACACGTTCCACTATGTTAAAGGCACAGCACATTCACTTGTGATTTTGTCATCACGCATTTGTCGTTGCGCTATTGTCGAAAATCAATTAGCAATTTTGATGGTCCTCATTTGTCCGTCGCGGTTTTGTCGGCGCGCTTATGTCTATCACACATTTGTCGGTGACCCGTTGCTTCTAGCTATGCTACCCATGAAACTCTGAAGCACTTTCTGGAGCCTGAAGAGTGGTAGTGTATATTCCCTGCAACTAACCAGTAGTACAAGGGGCAAGTAACAAGGATATTTTGTTTTCAGATCTTTTGACAAGAGGAAAATTGACACTCTCAAGAATGCCTCCCATACCTTGCCATTATTTTTAAAACTGTTAATTTTCATTTGAAAAAGTCTGAAAGTGAATACTTTAATTAAAGTTTTCAGAAATCTAATTAGATACCATACTAAATTAATGGTTTAGCAGAATTAGAAAACAATTCAGAAAAGCTAGGAAATAGCTTTACAGTGAAATGTTATATCTTCAGTGAGATTAAAGTGAATGATTATTAAAGTGGTTTGAATAAAGAAAGTATAATTGTTTCAGAAAGTAACCAGACATTTTTTTAAAAAGATATAGTATAAAGTATTTTGGGTTCCCATCATCTTATCTTAAATAAGCATTACATTTAATAACTTTCCTGATATATAACACAATTGTCTAAAATAAAATTAGCTAAACTACACATTTCAATTTTTTCTTTCTTATATTTTACCTCACGAAGTATGCAGTAGCTCAGTTAATTCTATAATCTTATTAAAATTACCCCTGACTTTGATTTTAAAATCAATTTCAGAATAACCAAAAGTTATAATTTTATTACTTACGCTAAAGACAACTCCAACTGAGCAATTGTTTTTTGTAAGCTGAAGATAGTTTTTTCCTGTTTAAAGAGATGGAGTTATGCATGTTGTGTATTTTCTTTTCCTGTAATTTTAAATCTAACATAGCATTAATGAAACTAAGTAATTTGAGAAACCATCCTCTATCCTAATCAAATATTTATTTCAAAGCTCCTACAACAAGCACATGACACTTATACATAGCATTATATAGACATATTAATACAACTTTAATATATATTTATAGTTCTCTGCCACCCACATAAGCAATTTAATTCATGATTTTACAGGCAATGTAAGTGGCAAAGTTGTTAATTGTAATACTCCTAAACATTTACTACATATAATTATTGTCTTTCAAATATTTTTTTGCTTGTTTAATTTTCAAAGTAAAACATGAAAATATTTGGCAAGTAGTGGGGGGGGAAATGGAAGAGAGGGGAAAAGGGACGATACTAGAATGCCCTTTTTATATTATTTTTAAATGTTCTTGTTACCAAAGGTAATTGACAACTAACCACTTGTTATATGTTATCTCTCACTACCTTCAAGCTAGGAAGCAAGGCATAATATCAATTGGGCAAAACTACTATGTATCTGCATCTGGGAGGACATGATAATTCTTGGCTAACTTTTTCATGTTTTGTGTCCGTATTTTCCCATGAAAGTATGGAGGTTTCTCTGCTACTTAGAACCTCTACACAGAGCTTAAAATATCCTATGTAACAGAGTTCCCCCAACATTTCCAGATTGGCGGGTTGGCGCAGCCTGCGATGGTAACAGTGGGGTGGGGTTGAGAGGATGGTTTCGCACATGCGCACCATGCTTTCACAAATGCAGTTGCATGCCAACCACACGCTCAACTTGCCCACCATTTCCATGGACCGGTTCCAAATGAGCTGCAGCCCGGCAGAGGGCCACAGTCTGGGGCTTGGCGACCCCTGCTGTATAAAACAACTATGTGGCTGTTTGTGTGGATGGGGATGTGGGTTGGGAGAACAGCTTTGCTCCATGGGAAGAATGGAACAGAAGAATTTCTATTAGCCTTCCGTAAAGACTATCCTTTTACTGAGAGCTGGGAACACCCATCTATCCTCAAAGTGGGTAATTGCTGAATTCTGCTTGATACTGTCATCAATTTTATTGCTACATCAGGTGGTTCCAGAACCAAAGCTGAGATCAGATGCCATCTACTAACCAGCACCTTATCTCTGCATCAGCCATTGTAGTGATATAAGGCTACAAAGGGAACTCATGTCGTACATGCTTTTTTTATCAGGCAAATACAACTACCGTATTTTTCAGAGTATAAGACGTACTTTTTTCCCCTCAAAAAAGAGGGTGAAAATCTGGGAGCATCTTATACACTGAATACAGCATTTTTGACCTCCCAAAAACCCACCCCCTTTGCAAAAATGGCCGTGCATAGCCTTTAGGAGGCTTCCAGAGTGCTGCTGGGGGCTGGGGAGGAAAAAAATGA